AGCCATCTTAGCACCATGAGGAAAAGGCCAATGAAAGAAACGACTGTCATGCACAGACCTCACAGCCAACGTCATACGGCCACAGTATGGATACTGGCAATGGCCTGCCTCAGGACTTCAGTTTTGTATGAAAAGAATAACGCTATTTGCTTCAGCACTGTGACTCGTTCCTGTTACTTATAGCCCAAAGCATTCTCCCTACAACATATCAAAAGTATGATTAATCTCCCCCACTCTAAAACAACAGCCCTTAAATCGGAAAGGTAGAAGACAGAGCAATGTTCCCACAACAGCACAGATTTGATGAACCTAACGATACACATCTGAGTGACAGACGAAATCATTAAAATGGGTCAACAGCAAACACTGCGCTGCGTGTGTGTGTGTGTGTGTGTGTGTGACTTTAGACAAATCAGTCACAGAGCACTAGCAGCCCCATGCTGGATCAGCCCCTCTGTGGCAGGACAGGCTTCCTTCTGTCTGTGATAAGTGACACGGAGCCAAACTTGGGACAGCGGCCCCTCGAGGTCAGCTGCTGGAGAGAACATTCCCCTCACCACTGGTTCACCCTCACGTTTGCATCGCCCTCCTTGGGTCTCTGTTCAGCAGCTTGTCCTTTTATCAGCACATGCAAGCCCCTTCCCAGGGTCTTCAGGAGGGCTGAGGTGGACCGATGAGCCCCCGCTTACCTCTGGGAATACGCAGCTGCTATCGTTTCTGGAAAGCCTGTCTCAAGGGCAGAGAGCGTCCCTGTAGTGCTTTGGGGACTGTGGTGTGAAGGGGTCCTTATCTTGGGAGCAGCAAAGACCAAGGCACCTATTTTCCTTCCGGGGGGTAGAGAGAGACAGTGTGTAAATTGTTCTTAAGCGAAAATAGCCAGTTCCTTTTCCTCGCCCAGTCACAGGGTGTGATTACCGAGCCCTCTTTCCGGACCGCGGGGCGCTGCTCGGAGGAGTTAGGAATGTGGGGCCACAGCCGTCCCCTCAGGCCCGAGCTCCTCTCTGCCGGCTAATTGCCACTTGTCGAGACTGCCAGCCTCACTTGACGGTAATTTATCAGCGTGTGGCTAATCGTTCCCTTCATGGAGACGGGGAAGAGGTTGACTTGAAGCATTCTGAACAAAGGAGACACCCGAGAAGCTTTTGTGACAAAGGCAGGTCGACTGGCGTCGCCCGAGGGACTCAGGGAGATGGGGCCCTCCTCTGTGATGACAGGACATTTCCCTCGGCCTGGGGAAGGGAGGGATGGCCGCGGGGGGAGGCAGGCACGGCCTGAGGTCTCCCCGGGTCTCAGAGGCCCAGGGAGTGAACTTCAACAATTTGTTCTCATTTCTGTCTTGAGTTCTCCCTGCTTTCGATTCTTTTCATTAGAAACATTCACCGTTTATGCTTCCCAGCTCCTCTGATTCCTCTTAAGAGGGAAGAAATTCTTCCAGGCCCCTGAGAGCGATTCTGTCAGCCGTTGGTGCTTCTGGAAGGCCCGGAGCGTCGGGTGGGGTCAGGGTCGCTGGGGTCCTGCCTCCCACGGGAGCCTCTGCTTCTCTGTGGGCTTCCCCAGAGGCGTGAGGACACCACCCGGTGCAGGGAGGGGACATGGGGGATGGGGGGCCTGCTCCCAAGTGTCTCCCTTGCCCCCACACCATGGCCACCTCCAGGTGCTCCTTCAGAGGGGACAGGCACCCAATCTGCTGTCCACTTCGGATGGGTGCTGGTATCATTTGTTCAACAAATCACCATCATACCTACTTCCACGTCACATAAATTCTCGGATTCTCACAGCTCTGTTCTTCGTTTCAGAAAACAGCAGTTCCCTCTGTCTGTCAGTCCGTCCTCATCCCAGAGCCCCTGCCTCCCACGTCTACTCACCACGTCCCACCGGTTCAGCGCCTCCGTAGTGCCCAAGTCCCTCCGGCTCCTACTCAGGACCTCATCATCCCTGATCGGGACCAGAACAACCCAGTCTGCCGGGAAAACCTGCCTAGGACTCTAAGCCGCTGGTTTTCCTTCTTGGCTTGAGAACTCTCACAGGCCACGGTCTCAAGTCCTGGGCTGGGCTCTGGCCACAGCCTTGCCCATCCTCACACCCCCACATACTGGTCACAGCCTCTCTCCCAGGGTGTCATGGGTTTACTCATGCTGCTGCTGTTGTGCAGAGGATGATGGAAAAGGGAAGTCCTCCCCCGGGTACGTGACTTGAAACATCTCATTGTCCAGTGTGCACAGGGCAGGTGGCCTGGGGTCACGATCTCCCCTGAACCCTAGGGAAATGGTCGGGGCCTCACTGCCTGGGCAGGGACCGGGAAGAAACAAATTTGGAAGGTGACAAAGAGATTTGGGAAGAGCGACATCAGTGGAACCCAGGGGGGGTCCCGTGGAACTGAAGTCTGAAGACACTCACATCCCACATGAGCGCTTGCAACCAGCTGGAAGCCTGTGACCCCCTCAAGTTCCTACGTTGAGATCCTAGGCCCCAGGGTGAGGGATCAGGAGGTAGGGCCACTGAGAGGTGATGAGGTCACCTCTCACCTCAGGAGGGTGAAGCCCGCATAAATGGGACAGGTGCCCTCATAAGAGACCCCACAGAGCCCCCCGGCTCTCTTTACAGCACGGGAGAGCACCACAAGAAGGTGCCGGCAAACAACCAGGCAGCAGGCGTTCCCGTGAAGCGGACCGTGCTAGCGCCCGGGTCTCAGCCTTCCAGCCCCCCGAGCTCCGAGAGCCCAGCTCTGCTGTGCGTGAGCTCTCCGGTGTGCGGCCCGGGGTCCCGACAGCCCGAATGGACTAAGACAGTCTCCCCAGCTCCCCGCCTCCGCACCAAAGGTAATCCTTAGGTTCGATCTAGGGACACCCAGACCTTCTCCTCCTGGCAGCCCAGGGCCTGCCCACAAGGCTCACAGACACACCGGCCTGGGCGCCAGGGACACAGGCCACGTTGACTCTGACAACTCACTCCTGCTCTCTAGGCCACCCCGACCTCTGGCGGGCTGCGTGCCCACCGCCAACCACGGTGACCCCGCCGCAGCCCCCCGTTCCGCCTCGTTGCCTGACGTGAGCACCCAGCGGCTCGGTGAGGAGCCGCCTGCCTCGGCGCCTCGTCCACAGGACGCAGTGACTCGTCCTCACCTGACAGACTCCGTCGGCTTTGCCGGCCCTGCTGCTCAGAGACCTGCCTGAGGTCGTGGACACCACACAGCACTGGCTCAAACCAGCAAACTCACTTCTCCCCAGACAAAATGAAGTGAAGGATTCTCAGTCCTCCCACCCTGCAGAACTCTGCGGGGCTGCCCGTCGCAACACATGCTTTCTAGACGCATGGGACACGCTCCTGCCCTTCCCTTTTGGTCCCCAGCACAGGAGTCTGGGGACCAAAGGACATTGTTTCCACAATGACACCCGGAGACCAAGACTCAAGAATTTTGCTTCCTTCCCTGTGTCAGAGCCCTGATAAACTGGAAGGGAGGTTTATTATTATTTTTTAAAGATTTTATGTTTTTACTGGAGAGACAGTGAGAGAGCACAGACAGGGGGAGGGGCAGAGAGAGAGGGAGAAGCAGGATCCTCGCTGAGCAGGGAGCCCCGATGCAGGACTTGATCCCAGGACTCTGGGCTCATGATATGAGCTTAAGGCAGATGCTTAATGGACTGAGGCGCTTGGGCGCCCCTGGAGGGGAGGTTTTGTCACCCAGGAAAGAATGCTTCTGCGAGCATGCAGGCACAAGAGGGATGCCCAGAGGGCCACCAGGCCATTTCCGGTCTCTGGGGCTCCTAGGGAGTGGTATCCCCATGGAAGTACGCGGAGATGCCCTTTCGGTCCATGTGGTGTCCTCCATCAGGGGCTCCTTCCTGCTGGAGGTAGGATGGCTGCCTTGCAGGCTGCAGGCCTCCTTAGAAATACGTGTGTGTGCATAAGTGTGTAGGTGTGTGTGTGTGTGCACAGCCTGTGCTTGTGTGCTAGACAGACGCGAGGTGCAAATCTGTGGGCCCCTGCATGGTGGCTTCCCGACCTGTCTCCACCGCCCTCCCCCAAAAGCTGTCTTCAGTATACACCGCAAGCCCAAGCAGCCAGGTCCACACCCAGCGACCCAGTCAAGTCCCCTGGAATCTGGAATTCTGTGAACGCCTCTGGGATGGGCCACAGCTCTGTCTTCTCAGCACCTGGCACCGCGTGGGCCTGGCCACAGCCCAGGAAGTACGTTCACAGCAACTGTCTAGATGTCAGTCCTAAAGCCAAGCCTCCTGCAGCCAGTAAGGCTCTGGCCCTTCCCTTTCCACACTCCCTCAGATTCTCGGAGACCCTCTGACGTCCTTCCTGTTCCGTGCCCTGTAAACTAGCCAGTCTTGCGCTCGGGCAAGGCCTTCCCCATACCCCACACGGCTCTTCCGGCGGCCTACGACGAGGAGACCCCCTCGCCCAGAGAAGCTCCGTCCCGCCATCCGAGGCGCTCGGCCTATTCCCACAAACCTTGGGGTTCCCCACCTGTGTTCGGTCACCATTGGCTCCTCGACACCTTTCTGACTGTCTACAGAGTGTGTCCCAAGCCCCATCAGAGAATCAAATCAAAGCTATGAATCCTTTCCCCAGGGGAAAAAAAGCAACCTGCACCCCAAACACTGTGACCTTTTAAGGGGGATGGCGACCCCAGGGCGGGAACTGTGTGCTGTCGGTATTCGGCAGCCCCGCCCTCTGCTAACGGGTCACTGACGCTGACAGCTGTCAGGTGCATGTGGGACCCAGGGGTTGGGGTGACCCCACATAGGAAAAGAACCACAGGTAGAGCGGTTTGCTGGGGCCGCGACCTCAGGCTCTGCAGGGGCAGGTGGCACGTGAGCTTTCCTTCCCCAACAACGGCTCTACTTCAGGGCACCTGGGATCTCTAAAAGGTCATCGGGTCGGGCAGCCCCGCACCGGAGGGGCTCAAATCAAAGCCTGGAGAGGAATCCTGTCCAGTGGCAGCATCCGGGGACCGAGGGACGGAGCGTGCGACGGGACGACCGCCTTACCTTCGTCAGTTGCTGCTCCGAGGAGAACCCCAGGCCAAACACGGTGTTGGCTCTGCTGTCAGCCCACTGCCCGAACTTCTGTGACGTCTTGGTGAAGGTCATGTTGGGCGTGATGGTGCTGTTTATGATCACCTGCAGGAAAGAGCCAGATGAAGAGGAGCTGAACGCTGGGTCTGACCTGGACGGAGCACCCAGTGCGTGCATCCTCGCCCCACGGCACCTGCCCCCGGGGCCTCCCAGCACAGCCTCTGCTGAATCAGTCACACACCCATAATCAGGGGTCCTTGCAGAGACCTAAAAACAGACGGTTGCTCTAAAATAAGATCTTACAGTTGGCGGGAGAAAGTCTGCCCTAAGGAGAGACTAGTTTCCCAAACTGCTGTTTATTTCCCCAGAGCTCCGGGGCACCAAGAGCCTTCAGGGGTGAGCCAGCCACGCCGCACACTCTCGGAGGAGCCACGCTGTGTCCCTTTTCAAGCACCTGGAGCCCCCGTGTGCAGCCTGAACAACTTTGAATCTCCATCGGCGACTGGGGCTCGCTGTTCCCCGACAAGAAGGAACAGCCGTGCTCTGATCGGGAAGATCGTGGACGGTTAATTTACAAAGAAAGCAATGGTAGTGGTACGAGCGGGGTGTAGAAAAGCTGTCGGCAGGGGTGCAGGGACTGGGTGCTCAATGGTGCCCCCTTCGTGGCCTGAAAGGATGAGGGGAGGAAGAGGCCACAGGCTGCAGAAGGCCAGGGTCGTGGTTGGCAGCCACAGGCTGTCTTGACATACGAGTCCGCACCCGGCGTCCCCCTGGAGGGGAGCCCACAGAATGGAAACCCTCACTTCTGCCCTGTGGTCCCTGCCAGCAGCCGGCCCCAGCCAGAAGCCAGAGACTCGGCGGACGCAGGGCTGGAGCCCGCAGATCAGACTCTCGGAGACCCCGGCAGGGGAGGGAGGGCACCGAGTGAAGCGGGGGTAAAAGGAGGCCCTCCAGCCCCGGCGGGGTCCGGCCTTCCGTGTCTACTGAGCATCTACTGGCCCAGCGCGCTGCTCACCGAAGACAAGGGGTGGAGGAGTCCGGACTCCTCATCCTCCCGCGGCAGAAGTAGGAAGAGGGGAGAGACGTGTAAACAACCAACCAATGAACAATCCAGAAGTGTTAGTGAGTAATCAGCGGGAGGCTCACCCGGGCAGAAGCCCTTAGAAGCCCTAAGCCTCCCAGGGACACTCGTGGGGAAAGCGGATGTCTGTGCCAGTCTGGAGGGCAGAACCCACAGCTCACGCCCCCCGTGAAAGAGTCTGTGACGATCTGAGCAGAAACAGAGCCTTCTGAGTGCGGGCACACCTGGCTCCGCAGCTGCGCTTTGCCCCGCGCCCTGATAACCGCACTTTCTACCAACCGAAGGTTCGCGGCAACCCTGCGTCAAGCAAGTCTGCGGGCGCCGCCATCCCAACAGCTTTTGCTCCGTTCACCTCTCGGTGTCACATGTGGATTATTCTTGTAGCATTTCAAACATTGTCAATTCCTGTCCTTGAGATGATGACCCGTGATCGTGGACGGCAACTCACCAAAAGCTCAGGGGATTGTTAGCATTTTTTTGCAATAAAACTGCATTTTTTAATGAAGGCATGGACTTTCCCCAAAGTCCTGCTGTGGCACGCTGAGCGGACGCAGCACACACATGACGAGTCTGCGAACTCGGGAAACCACAAGGCTCACGGGACGTGCTTAATCGTGACACTTGCTTTATTGCCTCGGTCTGGATCCGAACCCACGTATCTCTGCGGTGTGCCTGTAAGTATGCTAAAGGATGAATGTACTGGCAGTTTTCCTTATTAAGGAAATGTGCGTTCTCAACAGCTCCACTCATAACTGATAAAACAGGGAAGAGAAAACGCTGACGAGCATGGCCTCCCTTTCCATGGTGGGAACATCAGCCAATTATTTCGCTGAAGGACGGACCTTCTGGACACAGATTCTTGCTTTAACTAATAAAGAGACCCAAAGAGGGAGTCAGAGTCGCCTCTAAAAACAGAGGTATCATCGTTATGTGTGTATGAATGCCTACTGAGCTTTCTCTTTCTCTTTTTTTAAGATTTTATTTATTTGAGAGAGAGAGAGAGTATGAGAAAGTGAGCACGAGCAGGGGGAGAGGCGGATGGAGAGGGAGAAGCAGGCTCCCTGCTGAGTAGGGAGCTGGATGCAGGATTCGATCCCAGGACCCCAAGATCATGACCTGAGCTGAAGGCAGATGCTTAACGACTCAGCAACCCAGGTGCCCCGCCTCCTACTGAGTTTTCTAAGGAGGCATTAGCTCAAGTATAAACCTTGTTTATTTGCCAAAATAACTTCTGGAAGTTAATACCAAGAACAGCAATTGCTACGTATTTAGCATGTCTTGAATGGTTTACTTCCATCAGCTCATGTGACATGTGCGGTGGGACTATCCCCTCCATGTCACAGGGGGAAATGACCTGGTAAGGAGCAGAGCCTGGAGAAAAGACTCAGAAACCTGCATTTGGAATTTCTATACAACATGTTTCTCATTTTGTACCATGGGTGCCTCCACTGCACTCCCCATCCTTTCCCTTGAGTGTGATAACTCCTAGAACACCACAGTTCATGTGAGTGAAGACACGTGATCAAGCATTTTTCAGATAACTGGATGCAAGCAGAGCGGGTCCAGAGCTCTGCCTGCTGTCATCCGACACTATCAGAGATGGGGGCAGGGGAGTGGGGCATGGAAAATGCAGACCTAAACCAGGGGCGAGCATAAAGGAATGCTTCTGGGATCTCAGAGGTTGACTGGGGTCTGGCTCAGCCCCAGGCGGGACTGATATGGTGGAAATCAGAGCAGGCTGAGTGCAGGTGTGTGGCTGGGCGCCGGATCAGAGTGGATCACGTGATCCCAGAAAGCCAACCCCAGTCACCTTCCAATTACCAGAATTCCGGGACGGCGAAGCAATCACCAGACCCATTCAGAAACCTGATTCTTTCTAGATCTTTGTGCTCCTCCAGTCAGCCTCCAGAACCCCTCCCCAAAGCCCTCTTGAAAGGCAGAGGACAGAGGCTGAGCAGAGTACAGGACACACCTCCAGAATTCGCCCCAAAGACGTTGTTCCAGGGTCAGTCAGGCTGGAATAACAAAGGTGAGGACCCCTGGTATTTCTTTACAGTGTAATAATTCCTAAGGCACTTTTTCACACAGTCTTCTTTCTCATCCCCATTTTTACAGACGGGAAAACTGAGGCTCAACAAAGTTGAATGACACGTTCAAGGTCACACAGCTAGGAAGTGGTTAAAAGGAATATAAAGTATGTACTACTTACAGAGCAAGGACGAACAGGTTTCAAGAGCTGAATATGTATCCTGCTGGGGGTTCATTTAGCTTCTCAAACCCGTAGACTCAATTTTCTTTCTTTCTTTCTCTTTCTTTCTTTCTCTCTTTTTTATTTTTTTTTGGAAAATTCTCAACCATTCTAAGAACACCGCTTCTGCTCCATCTTCTCTGCTCTCCTCCGGGGCTCCAAGTACACATGTGCTAGACCTCCTGAGTGCGCTCAACACAGTTCATGTTCCTACCGGTTCTTATCACCCTGATTCTTGGTTCTCTCTGTTTCAATCTGGATATGTTCTATCGGTCTGTCCTCCAGTTCACTAATCCCGGCTCCTGACAGAACCCATCTGCTGCTAAACTGAGTCACTGAACTCAATTTTAGACTCTGTATTTTTTTTAGTTCTAGAATGTTCATTTGATTCTTTAAAAAAAAAAAAATGTCTAAGTCTTTGGGGGATATCCTCCTTCCTGTCATCTACTCCGTCCATTTTCCCCTCTATTTCCTCAAAGATAATAATCATAGTTCTTTAGAAATGCTAGATGCTGACTCTAACGTCTGGATTGTGCCCGAACCTGCTTCTACTCTCTGGGTTTTGCTTCTCTTGATTCTAGGCCTACGGTGTCCAGCCTTTTTCACCGTATGGTGGGAAATGGGTATGAAAGGACTTGTTAGGGTTCCACGTGATATTGTCGCCTACAAAGGACGTTTCCCCCCTTGTCTGCTGGGTGGGTAGGAATACAAGAAATCCCTATTTCGCTCTGGGACAGAGCTGGGTCAGGGCCCCATTTCCAGTCTGGTAAGTCTCCCTCCGCCTCTGCCTCAGGGCAGGCCCTCTAGGGCTTTCCACTGGGAGCCTGGCAGGTCTCTATCTCCACTTCCCCAAGAGGCTTCAGGGGATTCAGTTCTGTTTGTCAGATGTCCCCAGCTTTGCTCTGAGGCCTTCCAAAGTTTAACTTCCAAATCTGGCAAACCTCAGGAGAAGCTGGCCATGTGTCTGGGCCGCTCGCTCCCCAGTGTCTCATTCTAGTTCCCAAGTCCCTGCTGCTCTGCTTTTCCTGGGGGCCGGGCGTGGATTTTCAGCCTCTACCTCCTGCCACACCGGCGAGTGCCCTTCCCAGGGGAGGAGGGTACAGAGAGGCCCCCCGCGATTCCCCCGCTTTCTCTGGGGCTCTCGTGCCTTCGCTGTTCCCTCCTAGACCCCTTGGGCAGGTCTTCGTTGTAAGCTCTGTGAATATGAGGGGGATTTTACTCGACCCGCAGAAACATTCAGCCTGTCCCTGCAGACCCACGCGCACCTGCCGCTCAGCCACCATCTAGTGGGGAAGCCAGCCGTGGCCTAAAGACCCTCTGGCCCCCACTGTTCCCTGCCCCGGGGGCTTCTCTCCTCCCCCAGCAGCGTCCACCTGCAGCCTGGACTGGCAAAAGCTCAGCAGAAAAGAGCTGCCAACGGCCATTGTCATTGTCATTGTCATCTCTGAGCGGTCCTTACCGCTCTGGAATTGTAGTCCCTTGTGTTCACGGTGTTTCTATGGTTTCCTGCCTTCCCTCTTTCCTTCCTTCCTCCCTTCCTGCAGTTTCCTGATGCCTTCCATCTTTCCTTCCTTCCTTTCTTTTTGAGATTTTGTTTATATGAGAGAGAGAGAGCACAAGCAGGGGGAGCAGCAGCCGATGTGCGGCTCGATCCCAGGACCCTGGGATCATGGCCCGAGCTGAAGGCAGAGGCTTCACTGACTGAACCGCCCAGGCGTCCTCTCCAATGCCTTTCAGTTGCCATCATCTGGGCTCTGCTTTCAACTGCCAAAAGGACCACCTTGGACCGCGTGCCAGAATGTATATAATTTACTCAAAAACGCAAGTGCTGACTCTGGGAAAGTTCAGAGAGATGCAATTTACTATGTGTCTCAGGTGACACTTTCTGCTGTGGGAAGCATGTAACTCGCGCGGGGTGCTGTTTATCTCAGGAGGCAAACCCGTACTGCGAGGCACCCATCTGCCTCGTTCGCGGGACTTCCAGCGGGTGGGTCCGATCGGTGGCAGACACTCCTCAGATCCCCCCATGCCCGCTCTGAGCAAGGATCCCAGACCCCCAGACAACTGCCCAGCTCACTGCTCCCTTTCTGTCACCCATGAGCAAATGAGTCAGTGGGGAGGTGTCACCCAGCCTGTGATTTAGTTCCTGACCCTGGCCCCCCCTTAGTCTCTTGTCTCACAAGAGAAGGGTCCGTTCATCTGCCCAGAAGTCAGGCACCCTGTGCCCTAGGTCCCTTCCTCACCCTGCCTCCAGGGGCTCCTCCCACCCACACACATGCACTGGGCACTCACCAACCACAAACCATCTCTGAATTCCAGTAGCATCCCGTGGCTGGGTTCCCCGTCTGCAAGTGACTCCCTAAATCGACAGGTCCCCCACGCCAACCCTGAGCTGGCTCTGTTCCGCAGCTCCGGGGTCAGCCCCCCTCCCCTCCACACACACACCCCATCTGATTTCTCTTAGCTGCCTCGTTTGGCTCACACCCCACCACACCGCCACAGCCTTCCGAAACTGCAGAGCTGGATGACAGAGCGGCTGACACTTTGACAAATCACTAAAAGCCCAGCTAAGAGGACTAAAAGCACTTTCTCAAAGCAAGTCATTTTATCTATATTTAAGCCCAATATATCCTTGGGTAACTCAACCGACACCAGTGCAAACCCAGCTCGAGGACAGCAGATGAAGTGACAGCATCGACAGATAAAAGAAAGCAGGTCAGCCTGATTCACCACCCCTAGCAGAACATCCAGGCACAAGGCACAGCGATTCCAGCTCAGAAGCCCAGAGAAGGGAAGAGGTAGTTCAACTGCAGTATCGCCGTGTCTCCCGGAAGAAAATAATAACAACAACGACAATAATAATAATAACAAAGGCACCTTGCAGATACTCACTAACAAACACAACTGCCTACCTACTGGGTGCCAGGCACTGCGACGCGTGCTCAGCACTCAGCAGAATGCTGCGCTGCCTCCTCCTGCTTGCTTAGAGGAGAGAACCAGCCCCTGCCTGTCTTTAGACATCTTTGCCACACCAGCTACAGCTGTCCAAACACGGAAGAAGACACACGGCTCGCGTGACATCGTGTCAGGACGTGCTCCTCTACTGGCCAGGGGCCAGCCTGCTGCAACCCTAGCACTGGGCACCTGGTGTCCCGGGGTCTGGCCACAGGCGCCGGCCTGCCAAGCCTCACAGGCAGGGCGAAACTGGGCTGGGTGACTGCCTGTCCTCGACCTCAACCATGAAATGAGGACTTCTGGGCTCCCTTCCTAAGTAGGAGGAAGGGCTGTGACAACCGGAAGGAAAAGACACAGGATCGAGGTGCCCGACCAACGTCATCCGCAGTTTTCGCTCTGCTGAGAGAACGTGGCTGAAAGGGGGGATTCGGTCTTAGGACAAGGAGCCTTGTCAAGAGATCAGGAGGAGACGAGGCTCTCCCAACTTCCCTCCAGGACATTCCAATGGAGGCTTCTCTGTGCCTTCTGCTTTGGGGGCTCTGAGGAGTAAGAAGCGTCCACCAGGCCCCATTCCACTGCTCAAACCCCCAGTCCCCTGCTTCCGAGGGCTGCTGGCCTATAGGCAGAGGGTGGGACAGGCTTTAGGCAGGAGAGGGGAGCCAGTCAAAAGGCTACGAAAATCCTGAGCAAACGAAAGGTGCTCAACATCCCTCCTCCTTAGCGAAATGCAAATTAAAACCACAGTGAGACAGCCTCACACCTGTCACAACAGCCAGGACTGAAAAGACAAGAGGGGCGTCTGGGTGGCTCAGTCTGTTAAGAGCCTGACTCTTGGTTTCAGCTTAGGTCGTGATCTCAGGGTCATGGGATGGAGCCCCCCATCAGGCTCTGTGCTCAGCAGGGAGTCTGCTTGGGGTTCTCCCCCCCTGCTTAGACTTCTCTCACTCTCAAATAAATAAATCTTTTTTTTTTTAAAGATTTTATTTACTTATGACAGAGAGAGCGAGAGAGAGAATACAAGCAAGGAGGAGAGGAGGGAGAAGGGAGCCCGATGTGGGGCTCAATCCCATGACTCTCGGATCATGGCCTGAGCTGAAGGCAGACACTTAACGACTGAGCCATCGAGGTGCCACTCATATAAATAAATCTTAAAAAAAAAAAAAAGACAAGAAATAACTGGTGTTGGCGAGGATGTGGAGGAAAGGGAACCCTCGTGCACTATTGGTGGGAATGTAAACTGGTGCAGCCCTTGTGGAAAACAGTACAGAGGTTCCTCAAAAAAATCAAAAATAAAATTACCATACAATCCAGTCATCAACTATTGGGTATTTACCCAAAGAAAATGAAAACACTAATTTAAAAAGATACACACCCCTGTGTTTCCCAAGCATTATCTACAGTAGCAAAAGTACGTGCGGGAGCAGCCCAGTATTTGTCCCCGATGAATGGGAAAAGGGCGCGGGGCGTATGCACACAATGGAGCATCCCTCAGGCGTGAGAGAATGAGCTCTCCCCACCTGTGACAGTGTGGATGGACCCATAAGGAGTCAGGCTACAGGGAGCAAGTCAAAGGCAAACGCTGTATGACCTCACTCATTTGCGGAATCCAAAAAACAAATGGACCAACAAAAACCAGAACAAACGGACGGTTGTCAGAGGGGAGGCAGGTGGGAGGGAAGGAGGAAATCTGTAAGGGCCACTGAGAGGTGTAAACTTCCGGTTATAAGATAAATGAGTTGTGGGGACGAGAAGTACAGCATAGGGGATACAGTCAATAATCCTGTAAAAATGTTTGTTGGTGACCAACAGTGACTACCCTTCTCGTGAGGAGCACCGCGCGAGGGATGGAACTGTCCAACACATGGTGCGCTTGAAACGCAGACAACACTACAGGCTAATTATACTCCAATTAAAAAAAAAGACTTGCGGTGCCTGGTGGTTCAGTGGGTTAAAGCCTCTGCTTTTCGGCTCAGGTCATGATCCCAGAGTCCTGGGATGGAGCCCCACATCGGGCTCCCTGCTCAGCGGGGAGCCTGCTTCCCCCCTCTCTCTGCCTCTCTGCCTACTTGTGATCTCTATGTCAAATAAAGAAATAAAAAATCTTAAAAAAGAAAAAAGACTTTCAGGACCAGTTATGGTCTTAAAACACTAGGCATAAATGTGAGGCCCTTCAAAAGCAGACTCACTGACCAACTAAAAAGGGAATGAATTTGTGCTTTTCTTTCTTTTTTTTTTCCAGCCTAAATTGACAGGGAATGAAAATGGGGAGGTGGTTTAGAGGGTAAATCAGGGAATTCTGCTTCAAATACAGTGAACTCCACTTTCTTCTTTTATAAGTGACTTTGTTGATTTACCTAATTATTCTAAGTAAACTACCTCCAAAACGGTGCTTGAACTCACGATCGCACAATCCACTGACGGAGCTGCCTGGGCGCCCCAGGTACACTAAGTTTAGGGTGACAGCAGGAAATGGAAATTGTAAAACTGTCCAGTGGGATGAACACTGACTAAAGACAGAAAAGAAATTATAAAGCCTCAAATCTACTTTTTTTTTCTGTTAACTTGGCGATACTTCTGTTGCTATCCCTTCTTTACTGTGCCGCCATAGCAACGTGGCAAAAATATCAAGAAAGACAGCAGAATAATACAAATACCTGGGGAAAAAGGTATTTCAAGAAATTCTCCAAAATCTTTTAATCAAATTCGATCGCTAGGAATGATAACATAAAAACCAGACTAGATATAACACCTATCTAGTTATAATTGCTGGGACGTGTGCAATATGCCAGCATTCTCATGCACGCTAGAAGAACGGACTCTGCGGAAAGCAATCTGGTCACAGTGGTCACATGCCATGAATCAATGGTTACTATCTCAGCCTACCATATTTCCTCCAGGAATCGAGCCTAAGGAACTACCCAAAAGAAAGCAATAGGTACGTGATGAATGAGTGGGAGAACTTGTTTTATAAAGATGCTCATTATCTAGACCAGGAAAAAACTGGAAGCCACAAACATAGGCAACCATAAGGGGAGAGATTAAGAAGAGTGCAGGCCCTTGGTGGAACTGTTACACAAGCATCAAAATGCTAATTACAAAGACAACGTGGTAACAGGGAAATCTTCTTTATTTTTTTTTCCTCATTTGCCATAATTTTAAATGGAAAAAAAAAAAGGCAGGGTGTGAATTAGACCAACGTCACGATTAATACAGGAACACCTGTGTAACATGGCAGGAACTGGGTGCATCCTTTCCCCTCCCCTTTGAAACATAGCATACTGACCTTTTTTTCTAAGATTTTACTTATTTATTTGAAGCGGGGGGAGAATCTGAAGCAGACTCTGCACTGAGCACAGAGCCCAATGCGGGGCTCGATTCCAGGACCCTGAGATCACAACATGAGCCAAAACCAAGAGTCAGACGCTTAACAGACTGAGCCCCTGGGACACCCCCGTATCACACGGCTCTTGCTGACAAGGCAGGGACTGGGAATGGTGACATCAGCCATTCCCAGTCCGGGTGGTACCTTGGCTCCATCCACGCTGATGATGCGATAGCTGTTCCTGGTGACATCGTAGAAGTAGGAAACGGTGACCGCCTGCTTGCTCGCCGGCACCCAGTTCTTCTTGGTGCTGGGGTCGATCTGGAAGACGTGCGCCCGCGTGGTGAAGATGGGCTGTTCTCTGCGGGAGGAGAGGAGGGCACGTGAGGGTCAGTGCAGGACTTCGTGCCTCATTTAGGACTTCTCGCCCCACCTCCTGCAGTCCCCAAAGATCTCAACGGCTTATCGGGAGAGATGCATATACAGGAGGACAAGTAAAATAAGACAAGGGGGAAGGAGAGAGGCCGGCACGGGAGTCACGGAAACCCAGCCCCCAAGGGCTGCGGGCAACTGGCAAGGAGCGACTCACTCTACATGCGGGTCCCAAGTCCTCACTTCCTGTCGAGCGTCTCGGTCCTGTCTGACATCCCGCTGGTGTGCTTGGGATGCTGCGATACATTTCTTTTGGAGGATCCTGCCACAACTTTAGGATTTGCAATCCATTTGCAACTTCCTATTATATTTCTAGTAAGTACTTCTCAAATTCACAGCATCTTACCCAAGACGCATTCGTTTGTAATGGACGGAGCCTTAAAGTTTTATGTTCCCAACTTAGAAATCTTTGGAGGTTCAGGAGCTTAATTCAGGAAATACTTCCCTTTTGCTATTCTTGCCTCTGTAGGGTTGTTGCTCTTTGGCTCCTGTAAATTCTTAACATGACTGTCAACCAAATGGACACAGATCCAGGTTTCTTTCTGCAAAGTGGGGAATTGTTTTGATCTTGACAATAAAGCATCAAGAAATAAAGCGGATGGATAAAAATCTAAAACTGATTCCACAGCATTTCATTCTGTAAGCTATGGACCTCACAAAGTAATGTAAAAGGAGACACAAACTCATTACAAAATAGACTTAATTCTAAAGAAAGGGTTTTCGGGCAAATTGGCTCAAAAATCCTTTAAGTGTTCCAAATACGATCACACAGGGATGGCAGGGTGGGGGGGGAAGCAGCTCCCAGCAGGTAAAAGTGGCCCCACTGTTCATGAGATGCCTCAAATCTACTTGGTGATGTTGTTAACTTGGTGATACTTCTGTTGAAGTATCATGTTCATGAGATTTAATGAGCATTTATTAGAGATAAAAACAAAACCAAAAAGTAACTCAAAACAAATTAACTTTTAACATCCTTACAGTGTCCAAAGGGGTGGCATAAAATATAGGACACTCAGTGGATACAAAAAAAAAATCAAAGGGAGAAAGTGAATTTCAAGTGTTCTGGTCTCCAGATGGAGAGGTTTTAGGCAAAGCAGTCTTTGAACCTTTTCTGCCTAGACGAGGCTCATTACTGGAGAGAAAGCTCTTTTAGAAGAGAAACGTCTTCCTAGAAAAGCAATTTACTATTTGAGCCTCCTGCAAAGGATACTATCGCCATAAACATCAGCATCAACCATCAGTCGTGGCTGCAGACCCGTTTCCATGACTGCTCTTCCAGGAGAACAAAAGCCAAGGGCATGCTACTTGTGCTAACTCAATGCAATGGGTTCAAGAGGCCAGCTTTCCAGAAGAACCAATGGAAGCATTTCTTGCCCCCCGAAATCTCCCTTCAAGATCCCAGAGCAGGACAAGCCCCTCTGGGGACGTGGATCACTCGGACGTCTGTCTTCCCTCAACGTGGTTAGGTTTACCCACCCTCCGGAGCCTAAACTGATACCCTTCCAGCCACACGGTGACAGGACGTAGAGACAAAAGGAACATTCCTGCTGCAATTTCCCACATCTGTTGTCACCAGGGTGGCCAGCCTGTGGGGGAGCCTGTGTGCCCATGACTGCCTGCGCTCTTCGTCAAGTCCCCATGGGGAAGTCTGGCATCTGGGCTCCCCAGCTGTGTTACCACCAGCCCAGGCACCATATTTTGCTAATCATCGAAGTACAGCACCAGAAAGGAAAACGCCTGCTCACACGGAATTCTGCAGATGCGAGAGGAGGCAACGGTTGAAAGGACAGTAACCACAGAAAAGAGTTTTAGAGGAATTCTGCAATGTATACAAATACCGAATCATGCTGTGTACTTAAAACTAACGTGATGTTATATGCTAATTATACCTCAATTAAAAAAAAATAATTGCATTGTGCTAAAGTCTCTCTGCCTCCCTCCCACCGAGCACTAACGAGCGGGGGAGGGGCACCCGGGTCAGGCAGGAGCCCCAGCTGGGGCAGAGGCCCGGCTCTCTCACCTGCGCTCACGTCCTCCACACTGAGCAAGAGGGACTGGGTCTGGGCTTTAGCGCCTCTAGACCAGTGTTTCCTAAACCTCTGACAGAAATTAGCTGAGCACTTCATAAAAAGCAAGTTTCTGGGCCCCAACCTACTCCCCCTTGCCCCCCACAGGAACTTGGCTCTCCGGGAAGGCCTGGGGAGCTCTGTTTTTAACAAGAGCTCCAGGTGATTCTGATCCTCAGAGAAGCTGGGGAGAAACCCACAATGAGACATTAACAGGTGATCTAGACAGAAGACGGAAGAAATGAGCCTGTGGCCAGCATCTCTCCTCCGGAAAGACACAACGAGCTTTGAATGATTCCAGATCTTCCTCCCACAGCCTGAAGGGGACTACGATGAAACTGAGGACAGGATTTTGGGAGTGCAAAGCGTGGGGAGGCAGAAGTGCTCTGGGCAGAGATGGGGGCGGCGGGAAGGACGTATGGCCAAACCATCACTGACTTCAGCTCTGTGTCCCTGAGCCCAGTAGGAGAGGAAGTGAGGGGAGCAGTGAGACCAGAAACCAGGCAGGAAGGACAGGGAGGCTTCCTGACGGGGGATAAGCCAAAGCCAAGAGTCACCTGCGAGGCGTGATTCAGGTCAAGTTGAGCACAGAGACATGAAGACGCCCCCATCTCCAGACCTGCTGGCTGGGCTCTGGGGATGGACCAAAGCTATGGTGGGCCGCCCTGGGGACCCTGGCCAGAAATGCAAGGATGTCAGAAGAGGACCACAGACCCAGCTGGCCACAATGTCCGTGGCTGCAGACCAGGTGTCCCGTGGTCAGGCCTCTGCAAGGGGAGAGGTGCAGGGAGTCCCACACCCCTGCTGAGGACGAGCACGGGGACCGGAGACCTGCATTCCTCAGTCCTGGGCAAGCTGGGGCCAGTCTGATCGAAGCCTTGAACCCAGGAAACTGCCCACAGGACTGAGATTTCCACATGAATAACTGTGTCTGAGGCCAATGGGGAGTTCTAATGAATTCTTCTAAAATTCACAAATCTAATGGTGTTTAAAGAAAAGGAGGAAGAAAGGATTAAAAAAGTATTTACTGACTCCTTCCACCTGCCATGTTTTACACGTGACCTCTTCTTTAGGATCATAAAGATCCTTTGCGGCAGGTGTGCAGGTGGGGAAATGGGGGCTCAGAGAGGCCAAGGACCTGCCTTGGGTTTCACAGTAAGTGACAGATCTGAGACATAAAAGCAGGTCCAAGGGACATGGTCACCCTTCCTCTTAATCATTACGTTCCACTCTTTCGAAAAGAATAGCTTTCTGTAAGACGTAGCTTTTGATGTGGTTCTCAGTGATCCCGGCCTCCAGTCACTATGCCCTTATGAAATCCCCCTCCCCACCCCGAGCTTGATGATGGAGGTGGTGGAGGGACCTGTGACTTGTTTTAACCAAAAGAGTACAACAAAGGTGATGGGATGTCATTGTGCAAGTAAGCTATACGGGACTGTGATGTCTGTCTTGCTAGCAGATTCTCTTGACTGTCTTGATGGCTTTGGTGAGGCGTGTTGCCATGCTGGGAGGACCCACGTTTGGGAACTGAGAGTGGCCTCCTGCCAACAGCCAGAGGGAAACTGAGGCCCTAAACTGAGGCTCTCCGCCCAACACCCCGTGGGGAACTGAAATTCTTCCAACAAACCACTTGGAAACTCGGGGGTCAGATCTCACCTGAGACCCCACCCCTCGTTGACACCTTAAAGACACTTCCTAAGAGACCCAGAAGCAGAGGACACAGTTAAGCCACACCCAGACTCTGGACCCAGAGAGAGTCTTTTGTTTTAAGCTGCTAAGTTGGTGGCAATTTATTACTCAGCAAAAGAGAACTAATACCTTGACCGTCATAGAAAGTCTACTACATATCACAAATCCTTACATCGTGATGGGCAAAATCAGAGAAGTCTATAAACCTCGCCCCAAAATTCAGAAACGCAGATTCCCAGCTCTGAGAGATCATCTTGCCTCACCTGAAAAAGCAAAAAAGCACTGGAACTAGGACACAGGAGTCCGTTCCGACAAGTGTGCAAATCAGTATAAATAGAAAAACTCAAGAGAAGCAAAACTTTCCAACCCAGGAGGCCGCCTTTCCCTCCCAGCAGGGAAAAGCTGAGGAGAGTGTGTATCAGAGAACAGAAACTACCTTCATACCCAATTTTATTCTCTTTTCTTTGCTGTTTGATGCTTAGGGAGTGGATTTCAAAAATACTCCCATTCCTTCTCCAGTGCTTTAAATAGAAAGCAGATGTTTCCGGATGGCGAAACGTTGCTTCAGGCAGACAATGTAACCCACCGCTCCCGCGCACAGGCTTTTCAGAGCTGGATAAACAGCAATTGTGGCTCATTGAACACATTTTGGAACCTGACAGTAATTGTCCCCGAGGATAATCAGCCACTCTGCGCAACATATGTATGTTTGGAGTATGAAACCCACTCAGCAGAGACGCCACTGCTGCTCTCAACGGCTTCTGGCTCCGAGTCAGAGAATTCTGCGAAGAACTGGCAGGACTAATTTTTGCAGGGGAAGAAAATAAAAAGAAAAATGATGTTTTAATTTGTCATCACCCTCCACTTGCCACGGCAATGCTCAGCTCCAGGCTTTTTCGGATACGGGTCTGTGAAACCTCACGGTTCTTATCACTCCTACTCCTGCTTGACTCGAGTGAAAACCGAACCGTCCAGACATTACCTTGAGGCTCTTTAAACAGTGTTTCATGGTCTCACAGGGAGCCCTGGCTGGTTTGTCTGCCCCGGGTCGCGAGCCCCTCCAAACAGCCATCACGGCACCAAGACAAACGCTCGTCACCCAGCTCCACAGATTAAGGGAAGGCACGGTCCCCCCCTCCCCTCCGCCGCAAAGGCCTTCCCTGGTTCCAGCCCC